TCATGAGTACCAAAGTTTATACACGTCCGCATCCTTCGCCCTCGACCATACCCACCTTGTCTCCTAAACACGCTATATTGACCTTCCTCTTCTAAAGGTTCTTCGCCAGCTCAATAGACTTAATACATAATAAATAAGCACAATCAATCGATGGTCATTTAATCACTAAAATAAGTACGTAGTTATACAAGTAGAGAAATCTGAAAGCTAATTTATATTAAAATATAACAAGAATGTCGTAAATCAATTTTTGAAAGATATATCTTGGGGACCTAGGCTTCAGGTCACAACAATTTCTAAGTACGTAATGAATGATTATAAGTTTCATACAGATGATTGCTCCAAAAATAAAAATAGCAACAACAACGGGGTGTGGGTTCAAGGTGATGATGGCAACCAAGTTGGAGAAATTGATTATTATGGTGTGGTCAAAGAAATATTATAACTAGAATATACCGGTTGGCCATATAAAAACTTGATACTCTATAGATGCAAGTGGTTTGACCCAAATCCAATAAGAGATACAAGAGTATACCACCAATACAATATAATTGAGGTTAATCATACGAAGGAATATGATCGCTATGATCCTTTCATAATTGCACATAACATTAGGCAAGTGTATTATGCTCCCTATCCATTGTGGTAGAATAAGTCCAATTGGTGGGTTGTAATAAATACTAAGCATGTAGGTAGTATGGAAGTCGAGAATGTGTTAGATGTTGCATATCAAAACGATATCTCGAGTGTTCACCAAATAATGGACGATTAGTTAGAAAATAATTTGTAACATCCTGAACGCATATTGGAAGAAGTTAATATAAATGAAGTAACAATTATAGAAAATGAGGACGAAGAATCAACTGATGAAATTCAAACAATTGAGGATGAAGAATTCTTGGACGAGGAACAATACGTCGGCGAGGATTAAAAAGTTGGTTTTTTAAAAGAACTCTCATTTTATAACTAGTTTCTTATATGTTTCAATCTAAATATGTATTATATTATGCAGATGGCAGGCAGGGTCAAGGTAACAATGACCCTACTAGTTCTAGGAATGGAAAGAGGAGGGTAGATAATAATACTCCCTTTTTTCCACCCTCTTCAGAGATGCCTATGTCTTATCCTCCACCACTTGGCTATACTGAGCTGCTATAGCATCACGAGGCCTACACCTTTATCAAGACACCAGGTCTTCCATCACAGGGCCATAGGACTATACGTCCAACATATAGGCCAGCTGCCTCACAGCCACGTGGATCACAACCATCTGCATCACATCCACGTGGATCATATCCCTACATATCATAGCCACATGGATCACATCCATTCATGTCACAACCACTCGGGTCACGACCATCAGTATCACAACCACATGGGTCGCATCCAGCTATGTCGCAGTCACAGGGATCGCAACCATCTTCATCATCGACTCCATCTATTTCAGACCTTCGCCTGTGAGGCAGTAGCTCTGAGCCCCCTACCCCATCTACACATGCCTCTGATACACATGCTGAGGATGATGATTGATAACTAAGGATTCTAGTCTAGTTTATGCTTCTTTTTGCTTGAGTTTTGGACTAAAATGTGTACAAGTATTCCCCAAAATCTAACTTGTTGTGCTTGCTTGCAGTATTTGGTCAAAAATGGACAAAGATGTCATAACCAGCTCAAAAAAGGATTGAAACCTACACAAGTTCAAAACCAAGTCAAAGTAGTGATACAACATAAAATACACCGCAGCCGCAAAAGACACACCGCGACCGCGGTCCGCAGTGGTAAGGATTCAGAGAGTTAGCATTTTTGGAATTTCAAGCTACCGCGGTCCGAGGTAATTTTATGCGACCGCAGTGCCTCCATCGCGATAGCGGTTAGTTTACTGCGGTCCGCGGTGGAAGAGTTCAGAGAGCCTTGAGTTTGAGAAAAAGTTGAAGACTGCGGTCCGCGGTAGCCTCACCGCTGCAGCGGTCCATTTTGTGCTATTAGTGGTACCTCCGTCAGGGGCATTTTTGTCCAAAACATTTAGCTGTGTATAAATAATTTCTTTTCAGATTTTTAGGTCATCTTATCAGCAGTGAGCATGTGAACGACGACTTTTTCCCATTTTGAGTAATTTCGTAGCTTACTTAGCAATTAATCGTAGTATCTTATCTTGTAATTATAATTTATGGATTATTCTTCATCTCAATCTATGATTTCTTCTTCAATTATGAGTATCTAAACCCATTAGATAGGGTTGTGACTCAATCCTAGTGTGGGTATTTAATGGATTTTTTATTTTAGGGCTTAGATGTTTATGTGTGATTGTTATTTGGCCTGATTTATGCTTTCTATGTTGAATTAGTGGTTGCAAACACTAATTTGTGCCTTTTTGACTTAGGCTCTTCTTGAGAAAGAGAGACTAAGTCTAGGAATTTCAGGCCAACAAGGAATTGTGGTGTATTCAAGAGATTGATAGCCCTAATTAAAGGGTTAAACCTAGAGATAGTAGTACCCTACTTGAGCCAACATTGCTTGCACAAATTGAATACCTAATTGGGCTTGAGAAAACCAATTAGGGCAAAGTCACTCTTACTACCGAGAGGTGTAGAGTGGGTATCTTCGTGCATTGGCTATAGCATGATCCCAACTATAACATTATTGCCTTAAGTTCTAGATTATGTTAGATACTCATCTAGGAGTAAGTCACTTCCCTAGTGCCTCTTTACCCAGTTAGAAAACTCTACAACCATATATACTTAGCTTAATTTCGCACATTATTAGTATAAAATTTGAAGTAACAAGCAAACAAACATGATTGGAAGTGTAACTAAGGGCACTACACACTACTAGATTAGATAGAAATCCAACTCCAAATATTGTATTAGCCCCCTGTGGATTCGATCCCGACCTTCTTGGGTAAAAGCTGCATCGACCGCTTTTGCCACTCTATAGTGGTGTAGGGTTGGACCCGATCACTTTTTGGCGCCATTGCCGGGGAGATAACGTTTTTGGCTATCTATCTAAATAGTTTTGTGTCTTGTTTTTCTTTCCTTCTGTGGTACTAATTTGTGCGAGTTGACACTTCAGGTACAAAATGGCAAACATTACCCTCTTGGAAATGCTATTCCGTGGGAGGAGGTAGATGACAATATTGATGATGAGGTACCTATAGTGCCTCAAGCTCAAAGAAGAGGTCGCTAGGCCAATGATAATGTTCCAAACCCTCCCCTGCCACCTCCAAGAGTGGCTCCTTGGGTGCTTCCAAACCAAATATGGTTTACTTTGTTACAAATGTGATGTTGACTTTGTTGGATCAGCGAGGGTATTTCACAGGTGCTCCCTATCAGAATGCTTACAAACATCTTAAAGGCTTCATGGATACCTGTTAGGGAAGCAAGCAAACAAATGTGTCAGAGGATGCACTTCAGTTGAGATTGTTCCCTTTTTCACTTAGAGGGAAAGCTTTGGACTCACTTGAAAGGCTTCCCAACCATTCTATCACTACTTGGGATGAGTTGGCGGACAAGTTTATAGCAAAGTTTTTCTCGCCAGGGCATGTGGAAACTTTGAGAGATGAGATCTTGGCCTTCAAATAGGAGCCTAATGAACCACTTCATGAGATCTGGGAGAGATATCGGACAATGGTGAAAGAATGTCCGAACAATGACATGACCGAAGCAATGATTCAACAGACATTCTACCGTGGCATTAACACAACTAATCAGTGTGTAGTGAACCACCTAGCAGGGGGAAATTTTATGAACACACCTTATGATCAAACGTGTGAGATATTGGATGAGATGACAGATACTTCCTCAGCTTGGCAAAGTCGAGCCAATGTCCCACAGGGTGACCCCACTGTCATTTACTTGCACAAAGAGCTCCATGATCATGGTCAAGCAATAGCAGAGTTAACTACCACAATGAACCAATTAGCGAAAGCTCAATTATAACAGGTTCAAGCTTCTAGACAAGTAAATGTTGTGGAAGGTGTCAACATGTTGGTCAATAAGAGGCGACAAAGAGGTCAAGGTAGTCCGGATCAATATGACCAAGGTAGTGGTGAATTCAATCAAGATGAGGGCTATGGTAAGCAAAATGAAGAAGTGCAATATGTGAACAATTATCAAGGACAAAGGGGAAATGCTCCTAATCAACAACAACAATGGAGATCCCAAGTAAATTGGGGGAATCAAAACCAACAAGGCAATAGCAACTAGGGGAACAACAATCAAAATTGGGGCAACTAGAACAATCAGGGTAACTGGAGTGGCAACAACAACAATTGGGGAGGAAACAACAACCAAGGGGGTTGGAACAATGGCAATCAAGGGAATTGGGGGCAAGGCTTTCAAAGGCCTCCGATATATCAACAACCAAACAACCCACCTCCATTTCCGTCCCAAGGTCCTAGCTCATCAAATAATGAGATGGGAAGGATCGAGGTGATGTTTGAACAAATGATGAAGAAGAACGCCGACTCCAATGCCCAGTTGACATCCTACAATACTTCAATCCGGAATTTGGAAGTTCAACTTGGCCAGATTTCACAGTCTTTGAATACTCGCCCTAAGGGGGCTCTACCTAGTGATATGGTAGTAAACCCAAAGGGTGGGAACAACACCAGGCATGCTATGACAGTGATTACTAGAAGCGGACGAGGTAGTGATGTGAATACCTCCAAGCAAAAGGAAATTGTGAGTGATGAGATTCAAGTGCAAAATGATGATGTTACTTTAGTTGATGAGCAAGTAAGAGAAAAGAATATAAATATGGAAGTGAGGATTGATGTTCATGATGATAAGGTGGAGACCCAAGAAGATGTGAACCCGTCTAGGGAACATGTGATAGACATATCGAAAATGGTAGTGCCCAAGGCTAAGACTCCCTTGACAAGGCCTCCTCAACCTTACCTTTAAAGTCTTGCGAAACAAAAGAATGAGAACCAATTTAGAAAATTTATTGACATGATGAAGAGCTTATCAATCAATGTTCCTTTGGTGGAAGCTCTTGAGAAAATGCCGGGTTACGCCAAGTTCATGAAAGACTTGGTGACTAAGAAGAGATCTATGGACTGTGAGACCATCAAGATGACTCACCAAGTAAGTGCAATTGTACACTCGATGGCTCTAAAGCTTGAAGATCCTGGCACTTTCACCATCCCGTGTACCATTGGGAGCGCTAATTTTGCAAAGGTATTGTGCGATTTGGGTGCAAGTATCAATTTGATGCCTTACTCTATGTTCAAAATATTGGGTACTGGGAAACCTAGGGCTACTTCAATGAGGTTGAAAATGGCAGATAGAACTATGAAGAGGCTGCTTGGTATTGTAGATGATGTTCTTGTTCGGGTAGGTAAGTTCATTTTTCCTGTTGATTTTGTGATCTTGGATTATGAGGTAGCTTACGAGGTTCCGATCATATTGGGAGGACCTTTCCTTACAACTGGGAAGGCCTTAGTTGATGTGGAAGCATGGGAACTTACATTCCGGGTGGGTAATGAAAAAGTGGTCTTTCATGTATGCAAGTCAATGAAGCAACCCAACAGTACTGAAGCGTGCTCTTTCTTGGATCTTGTCACAGTAGTGATAGTTGATGATATTAGTGCAATGATCAATGTGGAGGACCCTCTAGAGGCGGTATTATTGAATCTTGATGTAAATGAGGATGAATGTCGGGTGGAGTGTGTCAATGCTTTACATGGAATGGGCTCTTACTCTTATGAGCCTCAAAAGCTCTCTTTGGATCTTGAGAAAAGGAAGACTCCACCGACAAAGCCCTCAATCAAGGAACCTCCCGTGTTGGAGTTGAAGCCATTGCCTCCACACTTTAGGTATGAATTCTTAGGCCCTAGTTCAACTTTGCTAGTTATTCTTTCCTCTTGTCTTAGTAACATTCAGGTAGATGCCATATTGGCGGTGCTCCAAAAATAGAAGAAGGCAATTGGATGGACTTTAACTGATATTCGAGGGATAAGCCCCACCTTTTGCATGCACAAGATTATTCTTGAGGAAGATGCCAAGCCCTCCGTAGAACAACAGAGGAGGTTGAATGAGGCTATCCAAGAAGTTGTGAAAATGATATTATCAAGTGGTTGGATGCAGGGGTTGTGTACCCCATCTCGGATAGTTCTTGGACTTTGCCGGTTGTCACACCTCCTTTTTCCGCACCCGAGGGGCGCAGGGGAGTTTTTTCCAATTAAAGGACAACCGAAACGGGATTGGTTTAATTATTTCAGAGTCGCCACTTGGGAGATTTAGGTGTCCCAAGTCACCAATTTTAATCCCGAATCGAGGAAAATAATGACTCTATATTACAGTCTGCGTACCAGAAATCCGGATAAGGAATTCTGTTAACCCGGGAGAAGGTGTTAGGCATTCCCGAGTTCCGTGGTTCTAGCACGGTCGCTCAACTGTTATATTTGGCTTGATTATCTGATTTTATACAAGTATGAACTTATGTGCAAATTCTAACTTTTAACCGCTTTATTATTATTGTTTTTACAAGAATGTGAACATCGCTTAAAACACGTCTTTGGACTGCGTCACATGAAATGCACCCACAATCCGGAACGCATTTTTGTTTGATGTTTTGAGATTTGGATTTGGGTCGCATGAAATGCACAGCCGAGCTTAAGAAAGTAAATTATTAAACACGCGCCTAAAGAGACTGAGGGCCCCGCAATTTGTGTTGTTATTCGGCGAGGCTCATCTCATTCTTATTTTTTAAAA